TGCCCCTCAGGGCCCCTCTGCTCCTCCTGCAGCCCCAGGGATGGGAGGGGGAGGGGGAGGAACCCCTGGGGCTGCAGGAGGAGCAGAGGGGCCCTGAGGGGCAGACATGGGAGCTGGGCAGGGGGCAGAACTAACAGCCGGGCTGGGCACAGGCAGAGGTGGGGGTGGCAGGGACACAGAATGAATTAATCAGGTTTGGGGGGGGGTGGGGAGAAGCAGCAGCAGGAAGCGTTTTGTACAGATCTGTGTCATTAGATCTCATTGGGGTGTCCCAGCCAGATCTCCTGCTGCAGGGTCCCAAGTCACTATCCAGGAGAGCTGGCAACTTTGTAATTGAGGATGAGCAGGAGTGCAGATAGATCAAAAACCATTATAAAATCTTTAAAAAAATCATTTTGGGTCAGTCTCATGATTTTTTAAAACTTCTGAGGTTGGCAGCACTGGGGGAGGCAGGGACAGGGCAGGTTTAACCAGAGGGAATTAGAAGAAGGAAAAAGAAAAATGTGAATTAAAATAAAACAAGAATAAAGGGAGAGTCCTGAAGAAATGGTGGAAAACAAATATGAAAAAAGTGACAGGAAAATATCCCTGACAGGTGAACCAGCCTGGGGGCAGCAAGAGGGGAAGGGATAAAATCAGGGGGGGAAATGGAGATGCCAAAGGTGATGATCTGTGGGAGGGAGGAAAGGAGAGTGGGAGAGACACAGGAAAATAAACAGGGGTGGGAAGTGAGGGCTAGAAAAATGCTGAGTAGAAAAGGACAGTATGAAAGAAAAGGGAGATGGAAAGGGAACATGAGCAGGATGGAGAGATTTATTACATGTTACTGAAAGCAAAACTGTAACTCATTAAATCTCTATGTTAATTTCTGGACATTGGTGCTATTTTTGTGCTATTACAAAAACTGTTCTCAGTAGCTGGGGATCTCCTTGCCATACGCTGTGGTTATTAAAACTCCTTCTCTGCTCCTTTGCTTTCCAGTTACTGGAAATAAAAGATTTAAAACAATTCTTCTTGTTTGTTCCACTTTAATGTTCCAGCTGCAGCTTTTGGAGGCAGAGTCCTGGGATTTGCTTCCTGACTTGGTCCTGTCCCCCCAGCACCCACAGGGAATATTGTGCCTCCAGGAGGAGAGCTTGGGGTTTATTGTGATGTGTCACTATCCAGCCTGTTCTCTGTCTCTGACCTGTACACACCCATGTCAATCAGGAATTGCTCAGCTGTGCTCTGCGGAGAGGTGACTGGTTACACAGGGTGCAGTCCATGAAGGGACTTAGGTGTTGCAATTCTGAGCATCACAGGGCCTATTTTTTAGTCAGCTAGAAAATCACAGGAACAGCCCTCTGCCCCGCAAAAGCGCGGCAGCCCCGTGACCCGGCCGGAGCACAGCAAGCCCCGTGGCCCTGCGACCCCGGCCGGAGCGCAGCAAGCCCTGTGGCCCCGCGACCCCGGCCGGAGCGCCGGCCGAAACGCGGCAAGCCCCGTGGCCCCCCTTCCCCCAGCCAGCAATCCAAAGTGCCGCCCCAGGAATCGGACCCCGCACTTGCTAAAGCTGGCCCTGCACAGTCTCTTTGCCCAACTCCAACACATTCTTGCTCTTTCACTTAACCAGATAAAGCAGAAGAGAGTTCAGATCACGTAGCACAAAATGACCAACCTAACTGCAGTGCCCCTCACTAGCTCACCCTTCCCTTGGGAGTTCTTGGGGCCATCTGGGCTCAGGAAAGCAGGCAGGGCCCCTGGCCTCAAGAGGCTGCTACACTCTGGGTGACTTTGCTCTCTCCTTCTGAGTTGGAGATTAAGAGCAAGACCTATGAAGGGACTTAAGTATTGAAATGCTGAATGTTACGGTGTTTAAATTTTAGCTGCCTAGAAAATCACTGTGTGAGATTTGAGGCCTTTTTCTGCAGCCATATTAGTAGAGCAGCAGCCATGAGCCAAGAAGCAGAAAGGCACATCCTCACATTCCATCTAAATTACATTGAAATAATGTAATATCAGGCTGTTAAGAAGTTGATCCTGTCTAAATAGTTCCCACCACCACCAGATAAAGAAACAGATCTGAAGTGATTTAAAGAAAACTTTGCTTGACAGCATTCTGACTGGCAAGGAATCACTTATCAAGAGTTGTGGGTGTGAAATCTCCACTTCTTTATTGTTTTGCCTTTATGGTCCCCATTTCTCTATTGTTTATCTGACTGGTTTCGGTCTGGTTCTGTGTTTTTGTCTGTTGCACAACTAATTTTGCAAAATTTAAATCAATTAAGGTGGTGGGGTATGATTGGGTAAAGAATTGTTTCACAATATGTTAGGATTGGTAAAAAAATTATTTTGTAATACTTTATTAAAATGATTTGTTACAGTTTAACTAAGTAGGACTAGGGTACAAAAGGAAGTTCTGTGACAAAGTTCCTCCTCTACCTTGGTGGGTCCTGTACTTATTGGTAGATTTGCTCACCTCACAGATTCACCCTGTGGGTCAGGAAACAGTCCAGAGACCTTCCCCTCTGATAGGAGAAATTGACCTGAACTGTGGCTTCTGTGTTTGATCAGGAGTTGGGAGGTTTGAGGGGAGCCCAGGCCCACCCTATACTCCAGGTTCCAGCCCAGGGCCCTGTGGACAGCAGCTGTCTAGAGTGCCTCCTGCAACAGCTGCATGACAGCTACAACTCCCTGGGCTACTTCCCCATAGCCTCCTCCCAACACCTTCTTTGTCCTTACCACTGGACCTTCCTCCTGATATCTGATAACACTTGTACTTCTCAGTCCTCCAGTAGTATGCCTACCTACTCTCAGCTTCTTACTCCCAGTTCATCACATGCATTTCTACTCCCTCTAGCCTGACTGGAGTGAGTCCTTTTATAGCATCAGAGGGGTCTTAATTACAGTCAAGTGCTTAACAGCCTCACCTGACTCTTAGCAGGTTAATTGGAGTCAGGTGTTCTCATTAGCCTGGAGGAGCCCCTGCTTTGGTCACTCAGGGAACAGATGCCTGCTTCTTCAGTGGCCAGTAGATCTCCCTTCAACTCCTCTGCTGTAGAGGGAAGGAGGGAGAGGGCTACTGCTGCTGTTCCTGTTGGGCACTGGACCCTCGCTGTTGTTGCTGCTACTCCAGCTGCTTCCCTGGCTGGGCTAGACACCTCCACCAACCACCTTTCTTTGTTACCTGCTTGCTGGCTGGTTAGTGGACCCCCCTCCCCCTCAGTTGCTGCTGTTACTCCAACTACAGCCCCTTGGGGAGGGGGGGCTGCTGGCTTGCTCTGAAGAGAAGGGGAGTGAGGGACCCCATCTCTAGCCTTTGTTGCTGAGGACACCACCACAACCACCTGAGTGGGGTCCCTCCTGCCTGGCCACCAGACCACCACCACCTGGAGCCGCTGTGTTCGCTGCTGGGGAGCTGCTGGAACCCTGAGGAGAAGAAGAGGACTACCCACTGCTGAGGGAACACATGGAGGCTTTGAAGACCACCGTGGAGGGGGCATTTCTGGACTATTTTTTGAACTGTGCTCTTGTGGTGGGGGTCTGGACTGTGTTTGTGGGGACACTGGGGTTGTGGTGTGGAGCC